GGGTAGCTTTATCTGCAGATTCTTCGGCCGCCGTGCAGTTCTGTATTGCTTTTAGAGTCTCATTAGCTAAATTATTTGCCTCCGCATCCAATCCTTGTGCTTCTTTTGCCAAGTCAGTAATTCGCTTAATATCGTCCCCTTGTGGATCATCAGCATGAGTCACACTCACACAACAGAGCACAATGGCCAACAGATACAACACACGGCCGGGAAACATGGACATTCTTGTTGTTAATATCACTGAGGACCACTAAAGTCTGTTTGCGTGTATATGTGTCTGTAAAGAGAAAGAGAGAAAGAAGAAAAGCACCAGTACACCAATATTACTCAACACGAGAGAAACACACACACACACACATAAATGGCGTCAACCATTTATGTAAAGAACGTAGATACGTATTAGGGAAAAATACTCATCATACAAACAAAATGAAACCCCTTTCCATCCCATAAGAAAAAGAAAAAGATTATAAACAAATTAAACACTATTTGGTAACACTGCAGAGAGAGGCAAACAAACACACACACACAATACCCCATGGCTCTAGTTTATGTATGAAATTACTGCACACACACACACACATCTGTGTGTACTAGCAAGAGATGTATACCGTCAGTGAGCAGAAGAGCCCAGTTTTCTGCAAACACATAACGGGAAAAGCAAGTAATGGAATTATTTTAAAAAAAGAACACACACACAAAAGAAAAGAAAACAAAAAGAAATTCGAATTAAAAGAGAAAGCTGGTAAACAGATTATTAGTTTATTCAACCATGGGGGATGTACGCAAATATGATTATGTTAGTTTAACCATGATTATTATTTGTCCTCAAGTGAGTCCCACTGTTCAGTACACGGTAGCGGAGAACAACACGACCACTATTAGTAGTGGCACACGTACCCACACAGAACTCATGCTGCTGCTGTCTGCTTTACGCTTCTTGGGTGGTTTGGTCTCGCTCTTTGCAGGCATAGGAGGTTGCAGTTTTGTTGGTATTGCGGGTGGCGTCACCTTAGTGGGTGTATTGGGGGTGTTCTTTGATGATTCACTCTGTGAAGGTGCCGCAGTATTTCCTGTCTGGATATCATTCTCTTCATTATGCGTGTTCGTAGGACCTGACGTTTCTCCATTACTCTGGGAAACCTCAGGAGTATCAGCAGGAGGAGAATCAACATCCACGCGAGGAGGACGAGCAGGACCACGATTAATAGCAACAGAAGGAGCACCTCCAACATGGAGGAGAGTTTGATTCACACCGGGATAATTAGTATCGGGAGCAGCGGGTGCAACTTTAGGATCTACACCGGGAAATTTCGGTTGACCATCTGCAGTATTCGAAACAGGCGTCGCAGGATGAACAGTAACACCAACGTCATGTTTCGCACGCCGAGTAGAAGCCCCAGGCACACCTGTATGTCCGTCAGAATTGACAGCACCCAGATCTGTAGAAGGAACACCATTGGGATTTCCAGGAACAGCAGCAGCAGCAGCGTCAGTAGTATTAACTTTGGTATGATTACGATTACCAACAGTAGCAGGACGTGACAGTAAACTTTCCTCAGGAGATTGAGTCACAAGACTTGTGGTGTGACCATCTTCAGTCCGTTGAACCGTTTCACTTCGTTTAGGCGTGATAACAGTATCTCGATTGTCCTTAAGAGCTTCTCCATAAGACTCAGCAACGCCATGATATCTCAAAGTTGCAGTGGGAACACATGGAGCATCAACAGTACTATCAACTCCAGCTTCACAAGGACGACATGGAATAACCTTACCGTTTTTGACAGGACAACCAGTCTTATTATCAACCTTAACACGAGCAACGCCAGTACCTGAATGAGGCCCTCCAAGAGCATTCTGAGGACCAGGAACAGCAGCACCAGGTAAGGAATGTGTAGGAGGACCTACACGACCCGGAATAGCGGCAACACAAGTACCATCCTGACCCTCTGTAGAAGGACAATTAGTCCGCGATTTATCCCCAACACTGTGATACTCACGTGGTTCGTCGAGCTTAGGACCAGCACTACCAATCCCGGGACCAGCAGCTTTAAGAGGAACTTTGGTCGGATGAGTTATAGTGGAAAGAGGAGTAGCCGACACACACCCATAGGCGCAGCACAACATGAGAACCAGTAAACACACCACGTGGCGCATCATTTCCCTCATAGTGATAATAGTGATAGTGGGTTTCGCTTAAAAGCAATGAACTAGATAACAGAAAAACATATATGAGAGATAAAAAAATGTAACCAAAACACATTAACAAAATAGTGTAAAAAAAAAACGCAACAATGTAAAAATAAAAACTAAACCAGTTACAGAAAACAATACAGCAAAGTAAACTCAGTAAAAATACGAAAAAAAAAAACGCCAATCATCATACGATACAGGGCACAACGCACAACGACTCAGCAAACCATAAGCACAAAAAACAAACAAATATTAATCATTATCCCAACTTACACAGTAAACATAGAAATATACACCAACTATGAGTGTACTTCTATATGTGTATATACGCAATTATAAATATAAATTCATATCTTATTATTATTTCTTTTTCTTCCCACTGCAAAAAAAAGAGTTCATCATCATTATTATCACAGTGCAAGCCCACAGGCACACACACACATAGAGAGTCTCCAAGAACACACACACACACAATGGAGTAGCAATAATAATTATTATAGGATAAACACAGAGAGCAAAAACACACAAAACACATTAACATTAAGAAACAAAAAAAAGATGAGAAAATCCCCACAGGTGGAAGATTAGTTAGACTGTAGGGATTGCATGCAAAAAAGAAAAAAGAAAACAAAAGGATGACCTGAGTCACACCATCATCACCACACCACCACCATTACAATCAGCACACAAGAATACAGGCCAGTGTAACCACAATCAGTAGTGGCACACGCACCCACACAGAACTGCTGATACTGCTGCTGCTGTCTGCATCACCCTTCTTGTTGTTTGTGAGTTCAGGAGGAAGTGTTGTTGTTGTTGTTGTGGTGGTGGTGGTTGTGGTGGTAGTTGTTTCTGCATTCCCCATATCACCTTCTTGGTTACTTGTTGATCCAGTTCCTGCAGATGTACTGCTGTTCTCAACAGATGTTTCAGAGCCACCGGCAATCTCTGTGACTGTATTGGTAGGAGAAGAAGTGGAAGGCTGTTGTGCACCACCCTCCTCGTTTGGAGGAGTTCCACCTGCTGTTTTGTTACTGCTTTCAGCTTGACCTTCACCGACAGACGGACCATCAGCTGCCTCACCAGGTGAGGGAGCAGATAGAGAAGGAGCAGGAGCAGTGAGATCCGTTTCACGAGGACCATCGTTCCTACCTTTACTGATTTCTTCAGTAGAACTGGATGAAACAGCATCACCAATAGGACCAGTAGAACCGCGGTCACTTTGAGAACCCTGTTCCGTTTCTTTGGTTGGAGAACAATGAAGATCGGAACCTTCACGGCAACTGCCGTCAGTGTCACGACCACTGGTTACGCAGTTGCCTGTTCCAGAAGGTTCCGTACAATCATCAGGACGAGCAACTTCAGGTTCCCTAGTGTTACTCTTGCACTGCGAACTCACCTCGCCTTCACTACAAGCACCATCAGGAAGTGGTGGTGGTGGGACACCAGAAGCTTCAGCACAAGGTTTATCAGCAGAAGGAGTGGAACCATCAGCGCAACGACCATCAGAAGGAGGAGGATGAGCCCCAGGAGAAGGACCACCAGCAGAAGGGGGAGGTTTACAAGTTTTTTCACCAGGAGGAGGATTAGTACCTTCAGCACAAGTACCACCAGGACCAACTCTAAGAGAAGGAGAAGTAGGCGTCTCAGCTCTCCCACACAAAGAGACAACACTCAACAGCAAAGTGAGAAAACACAACACACGAGACATCATCACGACAGCAAGACTTAGTTTGTTGCTATAGGCCACTTGAATGCAGAAAGAAGAAGAGATAAAGAAAATTAATACAATCACTCAATACATTAGAAACACACACAGAGAGAAACAAAGGAGAGCACAACACACACCAATCAATCACACAAAACAACATGAGGAGCAAACGAAAAAATAATTAGTAACACCGAAGAAACAATACTCCAACATCACTCATAGTTCAATTAAAGACCAAGCCCAGAGTATCCAGGATAAAAGAAGAAAATCCCATATTTCTCAGAAAAACAAAAAGAAAAAAAAAACAAATCAAAAAAACGAAAAGCTGATGAAGACAACAAACAAATATATAACAGTGTCTTTGCCTGTCAGCATAAATGAAATTACAAATAAATATGTGTATATAAATACATTTTTTTATGACGTTTCCTTTACACAAACCAGATAAACCCAACTGTGCAGCACAAAGCACAGGGTACACAATAAAAACCAATAGTAAAAGAAAACAAATTAATAATAAGCTCAATTACCCAGCTAAAGAAAAGAAATAACACCAAGTGTGAGTATAAATACCTGTATACCCTATTACGCATGTATATATACATTTTATTATTATTTCATTTTCTCATTCCAAAAAGCAGACCATCCCATTACACTGGGTAAAGCATAAAGTAGCCCAAGCACACACAATAGAAAGACATATATAGAACAAATATAATAAAACAAAAAAAAAGATTATATACAAAACATAAAATTCCAACAGGTGGAAGATTAGTTAGACTGTAGTGTGGATGCATGCAAAAAAGAAAAGAGAAAACAAAGGATGACCCGAGTCACACCACCACACCACCATTACAATCAGCACATAAGAATACAGGTCAGTGTAACCACAATCAGTAGTGGTACACGCACCCACACAGAACTGCTGATACTGCTGCTGCTGTCTGCATCACCCTTCTTGTTGTTTGTGAGTTCAGGAGGAAGTGTTGTTGTTGTAGTTGATTCCTCACTGTTTGATTCACCCTCTGCAGGTGTTGCAACATTAGGGTCACTTTCAGCCTGATTATTCTGCGCTTCATCTGTGGCTGTACTACTGGAAGAATTGTCACCTGTACTTTGAGTTGTGGAAGCAGAAGTATCGTGTCCATCATTCCTTTCTGGCCTTGTTGTGTGTGTGTTCTGTGTTGTTCCACCCTGTACATTATCTCTCTGATTAATGTCGTGCTCTGCACCAGCACCACTTGGATTCTGCTGAGTCATTGTTTCATCAGCAGATATGGGTTCTGCAGGACGTGATGTAGTAGAACTACCAGGCGGAGAAGAAGGATCAGAAGAAGTTGAACTCGTTTCAGAAACAGAAGTTGGTGGCTGATGGTTCTGACCTGTTCCAGCTTGATTACCCCTCTCAGGCGGTGTTCTACCTTCTTGAGTATCTACAGCATACCGTTCTTCTGCGCCCCTTTTTGTTTGCTCCAGCTCCACCTTAGGTACGTCCACATCCACTTTCGGGTCCTTCGGAACATTATCACGATCACCGTCTCCATCAGTTCCACTGCTGCCAGAATCAGGACGACGACCTTGTGTGGTTCCCAATCCTTCTCTTGCCTCCACAGCATCAGGACGTTCACCAGGAGCAGACTCTCCAAGAACAGCCCCAGCTGCAGCCTCCACACCAGCCACGGCACCCACACAAGCAACGCTCAGCACCAAGAGAAGAAAAAACACCAGCACACGATTCATGGTCACCACAGCAATATCTATTTTTCTTGTTTTACGACACTTAACTAGAGGAAAAAAGAAAACAAAAACAAGCACTCAATACTAAAGAGACAGAGAGGCACAAAACCATGAAAAGCGTAGCATAAGTACCAGTCACACATAACAACGCCACCAGCTTAAACAAAAACAAATCAATAAAAACTCCTCACAAACACAGTGATTAAACAAAAGCAAGAAAAAAATGAAATTAAGATCAACACTAACTGCCCCACAAAACACATAAATAATACATCTCATTCGTGATGTTTAAGTTAATATTCAATTAAGAATTTAAAGGTGAATAATTTATTATTATTTCTCTCTGCAGAAACCAAACGACCAAAACGGCGCAGGGCAAAACACACAATGACCCAGCAAACCATAAGCAAAGAATCATGTATTAATCATTAGCCCAATTCACCCAAGTAAAATAGAAATACACCGACTATGGGTGTAAGTCTATATGTGTATATACGCAATTCTAAATATAAATCCATCTGTTATTATTATTTCCTGTTTTCGCTCACTGCAAAAAAACAGTTCATCATCATCATCATCATTACAGTGCAAGCCCAGGTGCACACACACAGAGAGAGTCTCCAAGAACACACACACACACAATGGAGTAGCAATAATAATTATTATTATAGGATAAACACAGAGAGAAAAAACACATTAACATTAAGAAACACAAAAAGAAGATAAATGCCAAAATGTAAAAAATTAGTTAGACTGTAGGGATGCATGCAAGAAAAAGAAAAAGAAAACAAAGGATGACCTGAGTCACACAACACCACACCATTACAATCAGCACACAAGAATACAGGCCAGTGTAACCACAATCAGTAGTGGTACACGCACCCACACAGAACTGCTCATACTGCTGCTGCTGTCTGCATCACCCTTCTTGTTGTTTGTGAGTTCAGGAGGAAGTGTTGTTGTTGTGGTGGTGGTGGTAGTGGTGGTTGATTCTTCATTATTGGTTTTACTTTCAGTCTCGTTTGTTGAATTATCCTCTGCAGGTTTCGCAGCACCATTAGCATTGTCAGCTTCACCATTCTGACCTTGAGAAGTTTGGTTGTTGTCCGAAGACTGAGGTTGTTCTGTTGTATCGCTTTGGTTGCTCTGAGAATCTCTTGTATCTGTATTAGCTACACCTGAGGATTGTGAGGACTGTGAACCATTCCCTTCGGGCTGTTGAGTTCCGTTATTCTGATCAGCCCCTTCACTGATCACTGGACGTGTTGTTGATCCTTCAGTCCTCATCCCTTGATCGACACTATTCCCATTCTCCTGCCGTCCATCTTCACCTTTTGACCCTTGCACACCTGGTTGACTCACCACAGGGTCTCTGCCATTTGAACTACCATGTTGACCTGAAAGAGTATCCTGCTGCTGTTGTTGTACATTTAACTGATTGTGTGCTTCACTCCCCTCAGCACCAGCACCAGCACCAGACCTGGATCCATGGTTTGAACTACCACCACCCGTTTGATGACCTGGACCACTCCCAGTACCAGCAGTGCAGGAATCAACAGTAGTATCACCAGAACCGGTTTCGCAAGAGGGACTCGTATCAGATTCACGGGTTTGAAGAGGAGGTGCTTGTGGTCCTTGATGTGGTTGTACAGCAGAAGGAGAACGAT